AATTATTATTATATATTTTTGAACAAATCATTGTGGATAAAATAAAGTTGATAACTTTGTAAAGTAGTTTTTTTTTATCAATGAAAAAATCATAAAAAATGTATACACGAATAATTATTTTCTTTATACCTCAAACATAACTTAAAATTAATATTTTTATGATAAGGAATTTCGTTCCTATCCGGTGTCTCACGACAACACACATATTTTTTTATGAATGAAAGATTACTGATGGCCCAGAGGCCTTTCCGGCTTCACCAGGCCAGGTGGGCGAGCAAGGGCTCAGCGCAGCAGGAGCGCCTCTAAGGGAGACCTAACAACTCAAGAGTAGCTGCTTCGCGAATGAATCTACTACTGGATCGGACCCGCTGAGAAGATCCGGCGAGAAACTCAGCGGGCTGATGTTTAGGTTAGGTTGCACGTCGACCTCTTTGTCGAGTTCGACGAATACGGTTACCGGGGTCCCTAAGCCTACTCCTAGTGTTAGAGCTGAAGGCGTCTAATGCACCCAACAACTCAAGAGCAATTGCTTCGCGAATGAATCCACTACCGGATCGGACCACAAAAGCGCGACAGTGACAACACAATCCTAAACGCATTATTATATTGAACACGTAGGGCATTGTAAGCCCTCCGCGTATATGTGGTCCACAGACTGGTGGCGTAAAAATTCTGGCAATAAGCTTTAAAAATTGTAACTTTGACATAGCTATCGCAACCAGTAAATCTAGTTTATGGTTTTTTTTTAATTATGTTTTATTAGTGTCGTATCTATACTTCACTACATAGTATAAAACAAAGTCGCTTTCTCTGTCCCTATATCCCGATGTATGCTTAAATATTTAAAACTACGCAACGGACTTTGATGCGGTTTTTTTAAAAGATAAAGTGATTGAAGAGGAAGGTTTATATGTATAATAACATCCATTAAATAGTGGAGAAATCAATAATAAATTACAGCTTCCGAAGCGAAGCGAGGGCGGGTCGCTAGTAATATTATAAAGCTGAATAGTTTGTTTGTTTGAACGCGTTAATCTCAGAAACTACTGGTCTGATTTGAAAAATTCTTTCAGTGTTAGATAGCCCATTTATTGAGGAAGACTATAAGGCTATATAACATCAAGGTAAAACCAATACAAGTGAAACACCATGTTTAAATGGCTCCTTAACATTCTACAGTTCAAAAATATTTTCACTTTCTACGTAAATGAAGTGGGAAGTAAAATTCAGTGTTATGCCAAAGTAACTATTCCACGCGGAAAGGGTTGCGAGCAAAGGCTGTGTAATATAATATTTTAAAGAAGTACTTTAAAAATTAAAAAGTACAAGTTTGTCTGTGTGTTCTTCCCTCTAATTTATCAGTTAAGTTGACCACATCTATCTATATATACTTAGTCTGGCCATAAATACTGTTACAATTAAAAATAAACAAAATATTATATTTGAATTTGGAATCTGTCATTTTTATATGATTGCTCATGGAGTTTTCCCATTTTGGCGCCAATACATTGTACAATATTTTGCGATATTAAAATGGAGTGGGGTGATAAAGAGAACCGAATCGCTGTGATTGCATTACACAAAGTAGGTATGGAGCCAAATGCAATTTTTAAAACTCTCCATACCTACGCTTGGTATTAGTAAAATGTTTGTGTACCGGGCTATTAATAGGTGCAATGAGACCTCCTCCTCTGTTTGTGACAGAAAAAGATCTGGCCGTCCACGTAGTGTTCGTACGAAAAAGGTGGTCAAAGCAGTAAGGGAAAGAATTCGATGAAACCCTGTCCGAAAGCAAAAGATTTTATCTCGGGAGATAAAGATAGCACCTAGAACCATGTCGCGTATTTTAAAAGATGACTTAGGACTTGCAGCCTATAAGAGACGTACTGGTCATTTCTTAACTGATAATTTAAAAGAGAATAGAGTGGTAAAATCGAAACAACTACTGAAGCGGTACGCAAAGGGAGGTCATAGAAAATTTTTGTTTACGGATGAGAATTTTTTTACAATTGAGCAACATTTTAACAAACAAAATGACCGCATTTATGGTCAAAGCTCTAAGGAAGCTTCCCAATTAGTCGACAGAGTGCAACGTGGGCACTATCCGACTTCAGTGATGGTTTGGTGGGGTATTAGCTATGAAGGAGTGACTGGGCCATACTTTTGTGAAAAAGGTATCAAAACATCGGCACAAGTGTATCAAGATACCATTCTTGAGAAGGTAGTGAAGCCCCTTAACAACACCATGTTCNCAGGCATTTCAATATTGTAGTAATTGTTACGTTATAATACTCAGTGTAAAAAATTCATATTTAAAAAAATAATAATATTAAAAAATAAATAAATAATAATTTTATATGTAAAAAAAAAAGACATGCCCGCTGAGTTTCTTGCCAATTCTTCTCAGGACGGAGGCTAGTTCTTGTGAATTGGCGGTAGTTCTTTTGACGTTCAACAAGTATGTACTTTCATTTATGTTGAATAAAATTTTTTTGATTTGATTTGATTTGATTTGATTAAATAATGGACAAATCAATAATAAATTACAGCTTCCGAAGCGAAGCGCGGGTGGGTCGCTAGTAATATTATAAAGCTGAAGAGTTTGTTTGTTTGAACGCGCTAATCTCAGGAACTACTGGTCCGATTTGAAAAATTCTTTCAGTGTTAGATAAGTCATTTATCGAGGAAGGCTATAGGCTATATAACATTATGGTAAGGCCAATACAAGTGAAACACCAATAAAGAATGTTTCAAAATAAAGGTCAAGGTTGTCTGTGTGTTCTTCCCTCTAATTTATCAGTTAAGTTGGCCACATCTACGAGTATATATTTTATATATGAAAATATATAAAAATGAATGGCTGTTCGTTAGTCTCGCTAAAACTCGAAAACGGCTGGACCGATTTGGCTAATTTTGGTCTTGGATTATTTATGGAAGTCCAGAGAAGGTTTAAAAGATAGATAAATATGAAAATGCTCGGTATTAAATAAAAATAACAATTTTGTTTTTCCTTTGATGTGTCCCCATCGGCGGATTCCTTTTGTTTGTTTTAAGTTAATTTTACACAAATGTTTAGGTCTTTTATTTATCGATTGAGGCACTACGAAGTCTGCCGGGTCAGCTAGTTTATATGGCAAAACAACGTTTGCCAGGTCAGCTAGTCATAAATAACGTGCCTTGCTTGAGACAATCATTTAACATTAGACAGACCGGGAGCTAATGCAGCCGTATCATCATCATAGCCGGTTACTTTTGGCGGAGCAGTCGTGGTTACGTGAAACCCTTGTTTATTATAGCCTTGACAACTGTTCTCCAGCATTCGCAAAGTGAACCTTGGCTCACGCATTCGTTAAGTCGGGATGTGGTAAGGATCTTCACTTGATCACTCCAGCACATGTGGCTTCGTCCACAAGGCTATTCCTTAGATGGGTGAACGAGCTCACAGCCCACCTGGTGTTAAGTGGTAACTGGAGCCCATAGACATCTACAAAGTAAATGCCGCCACTCTCAGTGGGTCGCGTTTCCGATCCGGTGGTAGATTCTGCCAAGCACGGCTCTTGCTAGGGCCAATGTTAGCAACATCGTCGGGTTTGAGCCCCGTGAGCTCACCTACTAGCCCGGTGACGCTGATATGGTATCCCTAGGTCGTCAGCTTAGGTAGGAAAAAAAAGAAAAAAACACCTTGAAATATAAGTTCTAAGGTCTCAGTATAGTTACAAAGGCTGCCCAACCCTTCGAACCGAAACGCATTACTGCTTCACGGCAGAAATAGGCGGGGCGGTGGTACCTACCCGCGCGGACTCACAAGAGATCCTACCACCAGTAAAAATTGCAATAAACAATTAAAAATATATAATAGGTTGGAGAAAAAGTTTCTTAGCATTTTTTAAGAAAATTCACAAAATTTTAAATATTAATAGTTTATTTACATTTAACTAAAGTATGTAGGTACCATTTTGTTCGATAACTTTTTGCCATCTTGTAGGTAGGGACATGATCCCATTGCTATAATTATTTTGGGGCTTCTGATCAAAATACCGCGACAATCGGTTTTGGCAGTCCTCTCGTGATGTTAACCTGACACTGCGTAAAGAATTCTGAAGAGACCAAAACAGGTGGAAATCTGAAGGTGCAAGGTCAGTACTATACGGCGGATGCATTAACACCTCCCAGCCAAGCTCTTTTAATTTTTGCCGAGTGGCTAAAGCCTATTATAAAATATATATGTATATGTATGTATTTTATTATTTTATACATAGGTATATTAAATTGTAGTATGTTTATTTATGCATACAAAGTCATATGTAATCTATTTAAGTATTTATATTTAACATTATGTGTATTCCATAATACTGAGATGTTATTTTAAGGAAGATTTTTGTTTTGATTTTGTTCTTTTTTTGTTTTTTGTTGTTGTTTGTTATTCTTTTGTTAATGTACCTACCATGTATTATCTCTGCACCACCCTATGGTCGACTGGAAGAGAATGCCCATGGCATTAAGTCCGCCTGTGTACAACTTTTCTTTTGTGCATAAAGTATAAATAAATAAATAAAATAAATAAATAAATATAGCTATATTAAAATATATATATTTATATATATCTTAATCCGCTGGATTATGATTTATGGTCAGTTTTAGAGAGTACGGCTTGCACTAAACGCCATGATAATTTGGAGTCCCTAAAACAATCCGTACGATTGGCAGTGAAAAATTTTCCCATGGAAAGAGTGCGTGCTTCTATTGATAACTAGCCTCAACGTTTAAAGGACTGTATTGCAGCCAATAGAGACCACTTCGAATAAGCTTTTTATACTTTCAAATGTTTTATATTTATGTATTAAACTAACACACTGTAAAAGTAATAAATGTTATTCGCAATAGATTTTTTTTTGTACTTAGTCTGGCCATAAATACTGTTACAATTAAAAATAAAGTTATATTAAGACCAAGTATATACAGCTACGTAATAATTCTGGTCTCTAAATCGGTCAACTAACCTCTCGCCTCCCTGAGGGCTCTGGCGGCGTGCCTGTGGTTGTTCTTCTCGGCCAGCGACAGGGCGGTGTCGCCCCCACTGTCTGTAATGTGCAGCGAAGCGCCGGCCTTCAACATCGCCCTGATGTTCTCCACGTGCCCCCGCTCTGCCGCTATGTGGAGAGCTGTCTGGGAGTAGACATTGTTTTATAGTATAATATAGTGTGGAGTGGTGTATCGTGGCGTGGCGTGGCGTGGCGTGGCGTGGCGTGGCTTAGAGTGGCGTGGCATGGCGTGGCGTAGCGTGGTGTGGCGTGGAGAGGTGTGAAATTGCGTGGTGTAGTGTGGCATGGCGTGATTTGGCGTAGTGTGGTGTGGTTGCAGACCAGCTATCCCATGCAGAAGGCTTCTGCATCGTGAGCTGACGTAACGCTCTCCCTTCGAAACATTTCGAACGGATATTATTCGTGTTAAAAAAGAACCGTTGTAGTAAACGTGTTCTTGAGTGAAGACCGCGAATTTGTAGTGCAAGATGCCTTCATGATCGGTGGAATGACGCTCTATGCAAGGCTGGCAGAAGCTGGATGAGAGAAGCTAAGCATCGTGCTTAGTAGGGTGCAATTTATTTTAAATGCCTTTGTAGGCAGATGGGCACACGGCTCACCTGATGGTAAGCGGTTTCTATCGCCCATGGACGTTACCAATGCCAGGAGCAAAGCCAAGTCGCTGCCTACCGTTTCATCATCATCAGCCTGCGACAGTCCACTGCTGGACATTTACACTCGTTTAGTACCCTTCAGTACCCGTTTAGGCCTACCGTTTAGTACCCTCTATAAGCCTCGTTTTTATTTATTGCTTAGATGGTTGAACGAGCTCACAGCCCACCTGGTGTTAAGTGGTTACTGGAGCCCATAAACATGCGCCACCCACCTTGATATATAAGTTCTAAGATCTCAAGTATCATTACAACGTCTGCCCCACACGCTTCGAACCGAAACGCATTACTGCTTCACGACCGAAATAGGCGGGGCGGTGGTACCTACCCGCGCGGACTCACAATTGCAATTGGAGAGACCAATGTCTAGCAGTGGACTGGTATAGGCTGAGAGCTGAGAATGATGCTTGGAACCGTTCAGTATTTGTATGGCCTACCTTCCCGCCGGCTGACGAGTCGCATCTAGCGTCTACATAAGCTCCAGCACTACAAAGCGCGGACAGACAGGCGCTTCGCTCGGCGAGCGCGGCCGCGTGCAGAGCGCTACGGCCGTGTGTGTCGCGTGCGTCAACCTCAGCCCCATTGACTATCAGCTCTTGCAACAGTTCCAAGTTGTCCCACAGAGCGGCCTGTGAAATAGATTTCATTGATAGCATACCTTCTAGTGTCTTGATCTATTGATTCCGTCATTAGAATTGGATTTTTTTTTTTATTGCTTAGATGTGTGGACGAGCTCACAGCCCACCTGATGTTAAGCGTGACGCGGTAATAAATTTTAATACTATTGGTCCCCCGATAATCGAAATTCGACTATAATTAATTGAAATTATAAGTTTGTACACTATTATGGTTCTATTGTCAAAGACTCGTGTCTATAAAGACTATGAAGTCGTCGTGGCCTAAAGGATAAGACGTCCGGTGCATTCGTGTTGAACGATGCACCGGTGTTCGAATCCCGCAGGCGGGTTCCATTTTTCTAATGAAATACGTACTCAACAAATGTTCACGATTGACTTCCACGGTGAAGGAATAACATCGTGTAATAAAAATCAAACTCGCAAAATTATAATTTTTTTATTTTTTTTTTATTTTTTATTTAATAAACAATGTTTCAACAGCATTTAACTAGACACAGGGTACAGAGGATGTTTTCCCAAACATGAGCCAATTAAAGAAACACATTATGTTTCCAAAAATTTTTAACATAATTAATGAACACAGGTAGCTCAACTAAGGTAAGGCAGTTAAATAGGTAGATTAACTTTGTCGAATGATAACTTGCAGAATAAGTTTGAATCTGATTGTGTTGTGTCGATGTGTGTAAGTGCGTGTGAGTGTAATAAAGTGGTTGGTTTACATGGACGCTCGAATTGATAAGAACGTTGATAATTTGCGTAATTACTGGTGGTAGGACCTCTTGTGAGTCCGCGCGGGTCGGTACCACCACCCTGCCTGTTTCTGCCGTGAAGCAGTAATGCGTTTCGGTTTGAAGGGCGGGGCAGCCATTGTAACTATACCTTAGAACTTATATCTCAAGGTGGGTGGCGAATTTCGTTGTAGATGTCTATGTGCTCCAGTAACCACTTAACACCAGGTGGGCTGTGAGCTCGTCCACCCATCTAAGCAATAAAAATAAATAAATAAAAAGACTTTTATACTTCTATAATCACAGATTTCGCCAAGACTACACCATAGACAAATATTGGGTTGTTCGGAAAGTAATTTGGTTTTTTTTTTTTTGTTCAAATGAACCCATACATCGGGCTTCGAGGATAATCCCAGGCCTTTCAAGTGGTCATAACCTGTTGAATTTGATAAATTTAACCTCAATCCGATCTCACGTGTTGTTACCTATTCGCCGGTTCGCATCAACCAATGCCTTTATCGCGTCTTTATCAGCTTCAACCGGTCTTCCCGAACGCGGTACATCTTCGACATCAAAATTGCTGGATCGAAATTTAGCGAACCAGTTCTAGCACTGGCGTTTTTTTTTTATTGCTTAGATGGGTCGACGAGGTCACAGCCCGTCTGGTGTTAAGTGGTTACTGGAGCCCATAGACATCTACAACGTAAATGCGCCACCCACCTTGAGATATAAAGTTCCAAGGTCTCAAGTAGTTACAACGGTTGCCCTACCCTTCAAACCGAAACGCATTACTGCTTCACGGCAGAAATAGGCGGGGTGGTGGTACCTACCCGTGCGGACTCACAAGAGGTCCTACCACCAGTAACTACGTACTGTCAACACACCTTTGTTTGTATTGAATAGGCTCCGAAACTACTGAACCGATTTGAAATATTCTTTCACTGTTTGGAAGCTACACTATCCCTGAGTGACATAGGCTATATTCTTTTTTAAAAAACATTAGGGATCTTTACTAAAAATCCAATAATGTAACTTAAGGTGTAAAAAAAATACCTAAAATACTAATATTATAAAGAGGAAAGATTTGTTTTTTTGTTTGTATTGAATAAACTCCGAAACTACTGAGCCGATTTGAAAAATTCTTTCACTGTTTGGAAGCTATGCTATCCCCGAGTGACATAGCTTAAATTATATTTTTAAAGAAATTAGAGATCCTTACTAAAACTCCAATAATGTAACCCAAGGTGTAAAAAAAATACCTACCTACCTATAATAACTATTCCTTAAATCGCATGCGCTGCGAATATTATTGATAATAGAATAAAATAATATACTACGACTTTGCAGAACACATCATTACTTACAAAAAGTGTGTCAATGGGTCAGCTAATAACACATAATTTAACTAATTTTTCGGCTTAATCTTGCATTCCTGATACTATACAGCAGGGCTCGGCAACCTGTTTGTCCATAAGGGCGCAATACTAAATTTGAAAATCACCGAGGGTGCATATTTTACAGATAATCAACAGGTATAAATAGGCATTAAAAAAAACAGATTTTTTATAACTTTATTTTGTTGGTGTCATACATAATGATACATATAATTCAGTGTGTAACTTGGGTGTCCATATTTTCAGCTAATTTCTTATAATTGGGGAAATTATTTAGAGTTCCCGGTCCTTAAACAATTATCTAAATTTGTAGTAGTAGTTTTAAATGCACCGTCTACGCGTGGTCTATTCGAAATACGACCACACACTAACAAAAAATACGTGCGTGTTATTAGATACGCTCAAGGTTAGCAAACTGCTAATCTATGCACAATCCTAAACTCAACTGACTACTTGCTGTATATCGCCGTTTGACAAGAGTAAGTAAATCGCTCTGGCTATCATACATTTACATTAGTCCAGCGAGGGCGCATTAAAAATCGGACGCCGCGTTGCCGACCCCTGCTTTACAGCTTCCGTGGTAGCAGAAGACTCAGGTTTTACTCGTCGACATTTGAATACAGTGTTAACTACCCTCATATTTTGTAAAGCAAGTTTCTAGACAATTACGTTTCGCGGACAGCATCTTCGAGTCTGACGGCCTTGTAGGAGCAGGCGGAATGGTAGTATCCACCGGCGCGAGCTTTTCGACTCTGGTCAATGTCTGTTGACGATCGCAATATGAGGGTATAATAATCTGAAGAAGCCTTTACACCATCCAAGGTAAGCTATCGGGTGGTATTAGCCGAGGCCAAATCTGGCAGAGCGTGAGAGAGCTGTCTCCATTTCATTTCTCCGGGAGGTAGGGAAGATGCTGAGAAACTTGTGACCTTACCCCGCTGCTTGTCTCGATAGACTACTGATCTGAGACTCGAATGGCTTCTTGTGCGATAGCCAGTTTTAATCTTTTTTTTGTTATTGCTTAGATTGGTGAACGAGCTCATGGATCACCTAATATTAAGTGGTTACCGGAGCCCATTGACATCTACAACGTAAATGCCGCCACCCACCTTGAGATGTAAGTTCTAAAGGTCTCAGTATAGTTACAACGGCTACCTTGCCCTTCAAACCGAAACGCATTACTGCTTCACGGCTGAAATAGGCAGGGTGGTGTTACCTACTCGTGCGGACTCACAAGAGGTCCTACCACCAGTATAAAAGGAGCTAAGTTGCGCGAATTGTTTTATTTTGTTAATTTAGTGTTTTTTCAGGTCTAAATGTATAGCTTCTCGGATCCTTCGAATAAATCGACTGAAAAAATCTCATAATCAATAACCACCATTTCACAAACTTTATTTGAGACTTAATTTGGTCTCATTAAATTTCATCATTTTTTGTTTTGTTCCTTAGATGGAAAGCCGAGCTCACGGCCCGTCTAGTTCTAAATGGTTTCCAGAATCCATAGAAATCAAACTATGTACCCGTGCGGACTCAAAAGACCGGTCACCGTTCTCGTAGGGCTCGAGTAAATTAACCCTCAGACATAGCCCACTGAGTTTCTCGTCGGATCTTCTCAGTGGGTCGCGTTTCCGATCCGGTGGTAGATTCTGCGAAGCACTGCTCTTGCTAGGGTTCGTGTTAGCAACGTCATCAGGTTTGAGCACCGTGAGATCACCTACTAGTTAAGGCGACGCTGGTATAGCCTCTCAAGGCTATCAGCTTAGGTAGGAATAAAAAATTAAAAATAAAATTTCAAAAGATGCTTCAACTTACACAAATTAAAATTTTTGGAGGTTTCATATTTATTAAACTGTCTGTTAGTATCGTAAACTAGCGACCCGCCCTCGCTTCGCTTCGGAAACATTAAAACACACATGAAACCAAAAAATAAAATAAATAAAAATTAAAAAAAAGTAGCCTATGTTCATCAGGGACAATGTCCGCTTCTAATGGAAAAAGAATTTTTCAAATCGGTCCAGTAGTTTCGGAGCCTATTCGAAACAAACAAACAAACAAATCTTTCCTCTTTATAATATTAGTATAGATATCTGTTGAGTATGTACATATTTAATTAGAAAAAATTGTACCCGCCTGCAGGATTCGAACACCGGCACTCTTACATCGCTCGAAGCGAATACACCGGGAGTCTAATCCTTTAGGCCACGACGACTTCGTCTAATTTAATTTTCATAAAAGAGAATATTATGATACAGAATCTGAAGTAAATGAAATAAATAAATAAAATTATTATGCACTATTTATTTAACAATTGATTTATTATTATTAAATACGACATTGGCATCAAAGACGTCGCAAAAAGACGGTTGTGATAATTACACAAAAAAATAGATTAAAATAAAAATTAAATCGGTTTCCCGCCATTTCTATATTGTATTTCTGTCCGCCACAAATGAGTCATTCTATAGACGAAATTTCACGCCTTTTTAAAGTTTTATTACGGAACAGGGAAAATGCGACACAAAAAATAATTTGTCATTATGAGTATCATACGCGTTTAAAGGAATTTTGATGTCAATTTTAATACGATATGTTGCGTATCAAAAGGTGCCATTATCATTTTTTATAAATGTAACGTTAGAAGGTAATAATTAAAATATAGCCATAGAGCCACGAATTGACCACCATAAGCTTTGGACTTATTTGAAAAGTCTCAACATACAAAAAATCTAAAGCGACACGAAGTCAACAATGTATTTAATTAGTGTATAAAATATGAAAAAACTTTTTCCATATTGTTTACATTATTATTTAAGTACTCACTTTGGGTACTGAGCTTTTTTTGCTGAGAAACACTTTGCAGCGAGCCCTGACTTAGGGAAAAAGTTATAGAATGTTCATGTCAGATGTTTTAACTATTGCAGGCAGAGAGTTAAAAATTGCAGGCAACACAATGTGCTGCTATCCACATTGAAACACTGTATTAGTGTCTAGCTTTTTTTTATTTTTTTTTATTGCCTTTGTAGGCAGACGAGCATAGGGCCCACCTGATGGTGAGCTTGTTACTATCGCCCATGCACTTCAGCAATGTCAGGGGCAAAGTCAAGCCGCTTCTACTGTAAAGTACTCTCCAAAAGCCTCGTTTGAAGAAGGATATGTCATAGCGCTTGATGTTTCCCGATATCCTTCTTCAACATATCCTTCTTGTTGTGCTGTATTATGGCTATGACATCCTTCAAACCACAACTGATTGATTTTATGACAGAAACGAACAGGACGATGCAACCTAACCTTTATAGGTTTTTTTAAGTCATACAATCCTCTCATCACTGTTTTTTCTTATATTCTACCATAAATGATTGATTTATAAATGAAAAAATACACCTTTATAATATATACCTTTAATGCAATGGCAGAACAATTTTCCTACCAATTAAATTATAACACAAAAATTGTTTCGACACAGATTTTGTGGCTATTAAAGCAAAATTCCACTATCCCAAATTTGTCATTTTTGTTCATTGTGTTTGTTCATATCGAAATTGTAAACAAAAGCAGCACTACAATAGACAAAAACGCATGCAAACTTAATTACTAGCTGCACACACCTAGTATACTATATATTAGAAAAAATTATATAAGTTTCCTGAAATATTTACATACAAGGTGCACGGTGACCACAGGGATACCGTGCTTAGATTAAAATGTTCTTAGAAAACTTCAGATTTCACATTCAAATTAAATGCAGACAAAAGCAATGCTAGGGTGTGATTTACGCACAGTGACTTTTATAAAGGCATTATTATGAAATCAAACATTTATATTGTTAGTACATATAAGTCTCAACTTTGATGAAACGCTGCCTATTTTTCAAAGATATTTTGTGTTCCAGTTTGAAGAGTTTGGTTTTATAAAATTCAATGAGGTCCTAGCGCTCTGGTCACCTCATAATGTCATACAAGCCATACATTTGTTAAAACCAGTCTCATTAATGTAGGATTTAAAAAACTGTCCTCGCTTGACTAATTACAGATTGAATTGGTTATTTTTATTCATTTCTTTCTACACAGCTTTTAGAATAATTGTTTTTTTCTTTTATTATTGGCATTTTTTATTGTCATGTTATCATATCATATTTACTTATCGTGTTTACTGAAATGAATTTTCACAAGAAAAAACATATAGGAATAGGGAGAGAGAAGAGAGTGTAGTTTTGTAATTGAATCATTTTGTTGAAGCCAAGACCTCAGTTGTAACAGGTCACCAATGTTCCACAGCATAGCCAAGATGTTGGTCAATGCTTACCTTTAGTTGACACATTACAAATCAATTACCATGCTAATTTGAATTACTAACATAATCAATATTAAAATTCATATTATGTAGAAGCATACACCAATAAATCAGAATAAAGAAAAAAACAATAATTTATTTAATAATTTATAATTGAAATTAACAAAATAGTGCAGAAGATCATTAACACAATAGCGATAGTGTAAATTAATTATGAAAAAGGTGAAAATAAATTTAATAGATTTTAACTCATTTATAGCATGAGTCAACTGTGAGTTATGTATTGAAGAAATAACAAAACAACAAAACCGCTTATGCGACAGCACCTACTCATGATTAAACAGTGCATTCCATCAACTAAAATCGCCATCCTAAGCGTTTTTCAACCCAAATCCGACTTACTTGGTGCAGCAGACGACCTTGAAAGTTCTCCTCATCCGGGGAGAGATCCATTATATTGAAATGCAAGGCAAAAACTAAAGTAAAACATACATTTCCGGCCTAAACGGGCGGTCAAGCGTTACGATTAGAACCTACATTACTCCCATTATTAAAGTTACCATGCGATAAATACTAGGAATCAAACACGGTATTGTATTTTGACTGTTTTTTTGTGTTCACTAAATTAATAACAATTTTAGGAGATGAGGAGTTGCAATTAAATATTGGATCTTTCAAATCCCGTTTATTGATTTATTGTGCGGAAAATATTGACAGCTGATTGAAAACAGCTGTGTCAACTGACATTGTCATTGATTGTCAAAACTTTATTAGAAATACTAAAACTGAGAAAACTTTAAGTTTAGTGAGTTATACGTGAAGTAAATTAATTCAAAAACACAACGCAATAAACTTTAGCATTGAACTTTGTCAATAGATGGCGTTACTATGAAATAATCTAACGTTTTGCGCATGAGGAGATAAGGGTCAATCGGAACTGAAATTATTTAATTATTTTAATTATCAAAAATTAACTAAACCTGCATATTTAAAAAAAAACAATTAAATAATGCGTTGCATGATATTATTGATATTAAATTAGTTTTTGTTTTTTCATAAATTTATTCAATCTACCTACATTGTTACATAAATACAAGATTATTTGCATAAATGGGTTTCATAAAATGTGGCCTCAAAGACGCATACAATTTAACGAAAGCTGGGAAAGAAAAAAGGATTATTTGATTCGGAGTCTCTTTGAAGATGTCCCACGTAAGTTCAAACTTATATCTTTATTTTACTTAAGACGACCAGAGAAGCTCACAGCTCATCAAGTAATAAATACTTAACTCAACTATAGAACAACGTAAATTCCACTACTCATTCTCAGGCATGAATCAAAAGTTTTACTTATCAAAGTATCACTGAGCTTTGCTGGACCTGTATTGTACTTGTCTTGCATTGTCTTAAGTCAGTCGACTTAGAAAAGTTTTTTTTGTATTTAGTTCTGTCACCAGTTCAAGAAGCTGAAGAATCAGTGTCTGATGAATCATCAGACTTGGGACTGTGGAACCCAGTGGATGGTAAGTCGAACGACTCTTAGCATTAATTAAGCGCTTCGGACGATGTCAAATTAAATTTTTATATTTCTCCCGGAGTGACGAATCATAAGAAGGTAAACCTTAATATGCTTACGACTAAAACTCAATTATGTTTTTAGAAATTTTATTCAAAGTCAAAAATAAATCTTTTTTTCTACGCTTAGGACATTTTTCTACGCTTAGGACATTTCAAACTTATTTTTCTATGAGGAAAAACTCTACATGGAAAATATGGAGGGTAGAAGTAAGGAACACCATCTCATCGTGATCTAGACACGTCCAGATCCATCAGATCCAATAACTCTTGCATTAGACGCCTTCAGCTCTAACTCTAGGAGCAAGCTTAGGGACCCCGGTAACCGTACTCGTCGAACTCGATTTTTTTTTTTTTTTAGGTACTACAGCTTACTTCAACTCAGTACACTTCAATGTTTTTTATTTGTTTTATTTATTTATTTATTGCTTACATGGGTGGACGAGCTCACAGCCCACCTGGTGTTAAGCGGTTACTGAAGCCCATAGACACCTACAACGTAAATGCGCCACCCACCATGAGATATAAGTTCTGAGGCCTAAAGTATAGTTACAACGGCTGCCCCACCCTTCAAACCGAAACGCATTACTGCTTCACGGCAGAAATAGGCATAGTGGTGGTACCTACCTGTGAAGACTCACAAGACGTCCTATCACCAGTAATTACGCAAATTATAATTTTGCGGGTTTGATTTTTATTACACGATGTTATTCCTTCAACGTGGAAATCAATTGTGAACATTTGTATTTCATTAGAAAAATTGGTACCCGCCTGAGATACAAACATCGGTGTATCGCTCAACACGAATGCACCGGACGTCTTATCCTTTAGGCCACGACGACTTGACGACTTCTGATCTGTTAAAAATTGCTTCATGTCATTACCACTTCCTACACTGAATCTACCTTCCTACAATGGAAACTTTATCAGCTCGTCCCCTATACAAGATTATATTATACATCTATTCTCCATAGTGGAAAAGTAAACAAAAATATTCCAAATATATATATTTTTTTCTCCATAGAGGTAAAAGACTCGCGCCCGTACAGTCCCCTACCTCCGTTGATAATTGAGAGAGTACCCAACTATCACGATGAGACTGAAGAGTATTACAAGGAGCTCGAGATTAAGATGAAAAAGCTGTACAGAAAACTGTTCGTTGAAGGACGCAACGAAAGCTCTGTGGACAGCGGTGATGGCAAGTTTTGATCGTTAATATTATCATATTCAAATTAACACGGCAGCGGCTTGGCTCTACCCCTGGCATTGCTGAAGTCCATGAGCGACGGTAACCACTCACCATCAGGTGGGCCGTATACTCGTCTGCCTAGAAAGGCAATAAAAAAATAATAAAAAAAAAACAGGCAAGCAATCATCACTTAAATAAACTATGCATGTTATTGCTATTTACTTCTTTTTTTTTCTACCTAGCTGAGCGCCTTGAAAGGCTATTTCAGCGTAACCTAGTTAACTAGTAGGTGAGCTCACGGGGCTCAAACCTGACGACGTTGCTAACACGAACCCTAGTAAGAGCCGTGCTTCGCATAATCTACCACCGGATCGGAAACGCGACCCACTGAGAAGATCCGGCGAGAAACTCAGTGGGTGTCTGTAGGTTTATTTACTCGTCGAGCCCTTCGTCTAAGCGACGGGTTCGATGAGAACGATGACCAGTGCTTGAGGTACCTAAAATCACCGTTAGTGGGCGTTTGGGGCGACGTCGACTGCTTTCCATTCTGTCCGCAGGATCGGGAATGAACGATTTACCTTAACGCTACCAGTCTAATTACAAAATGGGAACAAGTCGCTAGGAAGAACAAGTTTTAAGTGGCTTACATACTTGATGATTTTAAAATAGATAATTAAAGAAAACGCAGCTTTATAAGAATGTACTAGATACTACCTATTATTTACGGAGGCGATAAGCGAAAAGTACGGAAATTCATTCTGTGTTTATTTACATTTCATTAAAATCTTGATACGCCATTGAAATGATTACTATAGAAGATATAATTAGGGACACATTCCGCGTATTAAGAAAACGTCTATCGAAAAACGATTAATCATGGCGGCGCCTTCGTAGCAATGGTGTCATTTCAAAGATGGCGCCAAAAGTTATTGTATTAAGCTGTTACCTATACTTCACTCCGTTTACAATTGTTACATTTATATCGCAACACTGGCTACGCGGCGCTATTTTAGTGGTGTTTTGAGTTGGAATTTGCTGCTCACGGCCGAACGCTTTCAACTTGTCTCCCTTAAAAGACAATTCACCTTACCTCTACCCTCCATAGTGATGGCGACTGAGATTATTATACTATACATATAAGTATTATCTATGCATATAACAGCCATACGAATTTTATATCTTCTGTCTATATAATTATATAAAAATGCATTGTTGTTCGTTAGTCTCGCTAAAACTCGAGAACAGCTGGACCGATTTGGCTAATTTTGCTCTTGAATTATTTGTGGAAGTCCAGAGAAGGTTTAAAAGGTAGATAAATATGAAAATGCTCGGAACTAAATAAAAATAACAATTTTGTTTTCCCTTTGATGTGCTCCCCGTCGGACGGATTCCTTTTGTTTCTTTTAAGTTTATTTTATACAAAAGTTTAGGTCTTTTATTTATCGATTGAGGCACTACGAAGTCTGCCGGGTCAGCTAGTCTCGTATAAAATGAACACATTTCCAAATGTACTTTCAGATTCTCCTAATATAAGCCCAAGTAGAACTTCATCGGAGTATTCTACCGACGCTGTGAGCTCCCAAGGCTCTCGCAGTACTTCCAGTACCGGTGAAGATACCGAGAACCAAACGAAATCAACCATTGAACTTGACAATCAAACTAATGACGATTTTGATACAATTATAGAGAATAACAACTGTGCAATCATTAATGGAAGTAATTCAAGTGATGGAACTAGTCGAAGCGGACATGACAGATTAATCACGAGCGACAGTGAGGTTGTCATTTTAAAAGACAATCTAGATGCCGGTGACAGTGGAAAGTCTTCGAAGAGTGATTCGGGATGTTTCAGAAGAATAACGATAGAAGCGGAAATACACAGGGAACCGGATGGCATTTCGGAGACTGTGAAATTTAGCCCTGAGAACACTCTAAGCAGTCACGTCAGAAATGAGAAAGTTAGCGTGGAAGAACATATGGGTATGTTATTTTTTTGTTTTTGACTTCAAACTTCTTTAAGCGCGTTGAGAGTAAAGTTCTAACTCGCGACAGATTCGTAACGGCTAGAGAGAAAAGATACAATTTAGGAAGAGCGAGAGTGAGAATATACAGAGCGTCTTGCGAAACTCTCGACCGTGGAGCCCTCTCTCCAACAGAGGACAAAACGAACTAAGTCGTTTCTCTTCTACACAGCATTCCCTATTTCCTCTATTTATATAAAAGAAGTTTCACTTCTTTCGCGTGTACCAAGCTACACGCGCACCATTTTTTTTTCCGTCAAGATTCTCGCACCGATTCAATGTTTTACTTAAAAATTATATCTTCAATGTGCTTGGTGCGAGTTTTTAAACGTTCTCGATAGCGTTAACTCTTATTTGTATGCAGCTGGAACAGCGCCCGTAGAAGCAAACGCAGGCAAACGTTCCAAATCCTTACCCTGCCTATTTCTGCCGTGAAGCAGTAATGGGTTTCAGTTTGAAGGGTGGGGCAGCTGTTGTAACTATACTGAGATCTTAGAACTCATATCTCAAGGTGGGTGGTGGCACTTACGTTGTAGATGTCCTAGAGCTCCGCTAACCACTTAACATCAAATGGTCCGCGAGCTCGTCCACACATCTAAGCAACAAAAAAATAAAAAATAAACTTTTAATTTAATTTCAGATTCACCCGACAACGACAGTCCAGTAAGCCCGGAGATTAATTCCAATGATGGAATAGAGATTATGAGGTCGGCACAGATTATATCGGCACATGAATTTGAAAGTAAACCACCCAGCCACTCTTACGACTACAGTAGCGCAAGTGACGAGAGCGGCCCGTATCATGAATTTAAACATGAAATCAGCGAGGAGCTAAACATATCCGATATTGGTGCCCGAATAACTGATTTTGATAGGATCATGCAAACATCCACTCCTAATCACAGGAAGCGACGGGAAAGTTTCATTTTCCAGTTAAGCAACCCCGTGATTCCGGTGAAGAAGCACAAAAACGCCGCTGTGCAAGTCAACGAGGAAAACTATTGGAGTTTACTGAGCGATCGTTTCTTCGTAGGCAAACCTAAAATATTTAGGTTATGTTCGTGCGTTAATCATTTTTGTGATTGTTAAATATGATTTTTTATAAAATATTGTTTTTTCTAAATCGCACCTGATTAAATTTGTTACATAAAAATTTTGCGTTTTATCTTATTAAAATTTCCTGATTATATTCGGCAGTGAGATGTGTAAATTATATTTCAGGGCTCAAACTATTAAGATTTCAGACTTTGTCAAAATCGCCTCAGTGATCGGGCATGATGAAATCGAAGACAAAGAGAAATACGTGATAATTAATAGACTGATGTCATAATTCTCATTTATTTTCTTATATGGAGGATAGACGTCTTGTGAGTCCGCACGGGTAGGCACCACCACCCTGCCTATTTCTGCCGTGAAGCAGTAATGCGTCTCGGCTTGAAGGATGGGGCAGCCATTGTAACTTTGCTAAGACCTTAGAATTTATATCTCAAGGTAGGTGGCGGCATTTACGTTGTAGGTATCTATGGGCTCCGGTAACCGCATAACACCAGGTAGGCCGTGAGCTCGTCCATCCGACTAAGCAATAGAAAAAAAAGTGAGGGGTACGACACTAAGCTTATTAAAAAGTGTCTGCTGAAAGAGAGCCAATTAAAGTGGCGAAATAGTTGCAAATGGAGAGATCTTAAAAACAACGCCATAAACTATTACAGTAGGATATTAAATTAAGAAGGGAAGAAACACTTCCTACGAAATAAAATTAATAAAAATAAATAGTTGAGTTTGAATACTGCACATTTTTTAACTACACAGCTCAAGGAATATATCATTTTTTTCAATCCAACACACTTCATTCTGTCTGAAACTGCTGTAATCATATCATTTCCAGTTCCTACACTAGCGCTATTAGACATTCTACAAAACTTGCATACGTCCCGTTATGACGTATGCAAGCGTAGTGTTCGCTCACGTGGCCCGCACCGACTTGAAGCCCCTTCAGGTTATTCAATCCCGATTCTGCAGAATAGCCGTCGGAGCACCATGGATCCTGAGGAACGTGGATCTCCACGATGACCTAGAGCTCGACTCTGTCAGTAAGTATCTACACTACTACTTGCCACGTACCATCCGGCTTTGGAATGAGCTCCCCTCCACGGTGTTTTCCGAGCGCTATGATATGTCCTTCTTCAAACGAGGCTTGCGGAGAGTACTTTATGGTAGGCAGCGGCTTGGCTCTGCCCCTGGCATTGCTGACGTCCATGAGCGACGGTGACCACTTACCATCAGGGGGGCCATATGCTCGTCTGCCTACAAAGGAAATAAAAAATAAAAAAAAACATTCGGCATCATTGTGCCATTTCGAGAAGGCGGCACAACATGAGAACCCTCTTGTCGTGACCGCTAGAAACTACATACCCGATCCTGTAGACTGAATGGTAAACAGTCATCGTAAGACGTCGCCCAAAGCACGTCTTTACGGGTCCTCCCGATCCATTAACGGTGCTTTTAGGCACCACATGCACCGGTCACCGATCTCGTCGAACTCGACGAAGGGCTCGACGAGCGAATTAGCCCATAGACACAGCCCTCTGAGTTTCTCGCCGGATCTTCTCAGTGGGCTGCGTTTCCGATCCGGTGGCAGATTCTGCGAAGCACTGCTCTTGCTAGGGTCAGTGTTAGCAACACTCCGGTTTGAGCTCCGTGAGCTCACACGTTAGGGTGAAGCTGTAATAGCCTCTCAAGGCTATCAGGATAGGTAGGGGAAAAAAAGGGCTATTTCGGTAAGTCCAAGATGTTCAAACTTGCTGTTTACAAGTGGACACTTTTCCAACTTCTCCCCTATACGAGATGGTCCTCCTTATATCTGCCTCCACATTTTCTTGTCAAGGCTTAATACACTTATACCGCCCGCTGGATGTACTCCAAAATGAAACAGCTCACGACGAGATTGCACAGTAAATCTTTTTTGAATCGTTAATTTTTAAATACTCCTCAAGCATGAAAAAACAACTTAAAATTTACCCGGTCATGTTGAGTTATAATTTTAGATTTTACTGAAAAATAAAACTAAACTATGTTGCAAATAAAGGATTTACTCGCCATTAAACATCTGCGAAAGAGTCTAAGTACGAAAAATAGCACAAAATACATTCATTGAAGTTTCTGACCATTCTCACTATTATGTAGGTACACTAAAACATTTTTTCGTTTTCGTTTACATAATTCAACTTTAACCCAAAATCAATTTCAGATAAATTAACTAAATTTAATTCCAGTTAATTTTTATTTTCATAATTAAACAAACGTGCTTTTGACTTTGAATAAAACAGTGTATAATAATTAATAATGCATATTTAGGAAATAGATCATGTCATATAGCATAATTCCATCGCCTGTCTTGTGTTTGAAAAACGAAACATGAAGATCAAAATTGACGTTTTGATTGGCATACAATCACTGAAGCATACAATAGTTTTTTAGGTTATGTTATTATTATTTTCACAACATTGCCTTTATTTACATTACAATAAAACATAATGGCACCTCTAGAATCTTTAGATATTGAATTAAGCGAGAAACACATCGAAACAGTCGGCAAATTCGTAGCGGACATAAGAAACAAGTGAGCATAAGTGAAAGTTTATCATTTCTCAATTATTTTAAAGTGTAATTTTTCTCAAATATTTTACTTTCTTGTTAAGTAAATACGTTTGCTTGTATAAGAATAGAGTACATTAAAGTTGTGGCTATCTACTATTAACAATAAAAATATACTATGAATGGTTAATTCAGCACCTTCTTAAAAATGACATACTCAATAGGTAATGGAAAATTTTGTACAAAACCTGCATAGAACTTATTAAACTATCAAACTAGGAGTTATATAGGACATGTTCCGCATGTCATTTGCCTGGCTTAGGTGACATTCAGAACCTTTATCTCACATTATGGTAGGCAGCGGCTTGACTCTGCCCCTGGCATTGCTGACGTCCATGAGCGACGGTGACCACTTACCATCAAGTGGGCCGTATGATCATCTGCTTACAAAGGCAAAAAAAATAAACATTACGAGTGCCAGATCGATATAAGAAACAAGAACCGCACAGACTTAGAATTCCAAATACTTACAGTCTACAAGAAATCAAATTCACTTCACCAGCGACACCATCAGAATATTCTAATTTAAATTGAGAAGTAATCTTACGTTTCAGTAAATTATCTGGCTCGGAGCAGATAGCGGAGGCGACGCTAACACTAGTGGAGAAGATTATCAGCGAGTCTAATGCAACAGCACGGTATGTTAGACTTTTTTTTTTTTCATAAAGAGCTCCAACGCCTTTGGCATTGATTTTACCAATGTCAAAGTATTTACAAAAATGACAGGCTCTTAGAGAGGAAAAAACAAATACTAAATCTAAATACAAATAAATTTTGGTCAGTTTTTCCATACGCGAATCTGTGGTTTTAAGAGCAGCACAAACAAATATATGTTAGACTAACTACTTTAGAGATAAATATTATTAGCAGATAAAAATTTACACAGAATATTTACATGTTTATGAATAGACTAAAGTTAATAAACAATTAATATTAATAGGCCGGGGAATGTCATTTGGAAGGATATCACAAAGAGGGGATACAATATTGGGGCCGTCGAAGAAAATGTGATCCAGGATACCCTCATCTAATCCACACTCAATGTTAGACTTATGATTAGACAGAACTGTTTAATACTGATTCGGGACAGTTAATTTCATGATATAAAGTTGAATGTGGTTGATGTGTCATTTGCAGTGGCTATTCAGAAATATTCAGGGCAATACGTACATAGAGCCCATAGACATCTACAACGTAAATGCGCCACCCACCTCGAGATATAAGTTCTAAGATCTCAGTATAGTCACAACGGCTACCCCACCCTTCGAACCGAAACGCATTACTGCTTCATGGCGGAAATAGGCGGGGTGGTGGTACCTACCCGTGCGGACCCCCAAGAGGTCCTACCAACAGTGATTACGCAAATTATAATTTTGCGGATTTGATTTTTATTACACTATGTTATTCCTTCAACGTGGAAGTCAATCGCGAACATTTGTTAAGTACGTATTTCATTAGAAAAATTGGTACCCGCTTGCGGGATTCGAACACCGTTGCATCGCTCGATACGAATGCACCGGACGTCTTATCCTTTAGGCTACGACTAACGTGGCCAAATTTATTTTGAAGTAGTCGTGGTATTTTGTGTTTCCTCAAGGGAACTTTGCGGAGTCCTCAGAGCGGCTGCTCGTCGTATCAGCTCAAGTTTACCACTGGAGCTGGTAGCGATCAACATGATTAGGAGAGTTTTAAGAGCCATAAGGGATGAAAACAGAGCTTCCGTAGACCAGGTATTATTATTATTATTTTTTCTACTCCTTTGGCAATCTGCCGATGCAATCAGCAATTTATGCCAGTGTCATGTTGTAGTGTTTTTGGGATTTAACTAATCCATACTTCACAGCCAGTGTCACAGTGCTAGGTTACGTTATATTATTTGATTTAATTACTCTAAGGTATTATACCAGGTATTATAGTAAATGCTTCATAAACCTTGTTGTACCCATAATAAATTATCCCACAAAAATGACAATAATTATTGATCATTTACTAACATTCTATACCAGCAATCGGGGAACTGGGGTAAATTACCCCAAAATGGGGTAAAATGAGATTTTTGGGGGGTAAAAATGAAACTTTTGTGAGTAAAAAGTATATATCGAAGTGAAACTTCTTTAGAATCGTTGTGATTGCAAACTCGATGAAACGAAATGAAACGAAACGAAAAAATAAGTTTTTTTTTCACAATTATCGTGGGGGCTATTATATGAAAAATGCTAAAAAGAAGCGATTTCGTTTTTTTTTGTTCTTCGCCATGGTGTAAATCAACTTACACAAAAATATTTTGGGGTAATAATTAAAAAAGTTCCCCGACCGCTGTTCTATACGCTATAGACATTTTTACTGTCTAAAATTTTAGACATCCTCCGGAAAGTTTAGGGTACTCATTTTGTCACGTCAACTTTGTGTCCAAATTTATGTAGCTTCATGTTGTTACTTTAATAGCCAATTCAATTGCGGTAGGCAGTGGCTTGGCTCTGCCTCTGGCATTGCTGAAGTCCATGGGCGACGGTAACCACTCACCATCAGGTGGTCCGTATGCTCATCTGCATACAAGGACAATAAAAAAAAAAAAAAAAATGGATGTCACCAGTTCTCCCCGGTATATCTTATCTTGTGGACAACAAGAGTCATAGTAATCAATCACCGATTGGATAGTTCCAGAGTGGTGAGGGTGTAGGAGAGAGTCTCCAAGGTCTGGTTCTGGCGACTCCGGCCCGGCACAGCATCGTGCCTTCAACGGATCAGGACTTGAGGGAACCTATAAGAGATCACATCGCAGAGGTGAGGTGATTGTACCGATATAAGGTATAGACTTGTGTCAGGAGCATTGATTCTAATTCCCATAACAGTTATATGCTAACTTTTCCTTTAAGTTAAGTGGTTACCTTAGCTAATAGACATCATGTCTGTACCGCCATTTTTAAGATGAGTTTTAAGGACAACGGCCTCACCCTTCAAAAACCATTACGACTTCGCAGCAGATACTGGTGGGGTCGTGGTACCTACTCTAATGGTCTAACTACAGACTACTCGTCATTTCGGATCCTCCCGATCCACTAACGGTATTTTGGGTACGGTGATCGGATCCCGCAGCCGGGTACCAATTTTTCTAATGAAATGCGTACTTGACAAATGTTCACGATTGTCTTCCACGGTGAAGGAAGACCATCGTGTAGTAAAAATCAAACCCGCAAAATTATAATTTGCGTAATTACTGGTGGTAGGACGCCTTCTGAGTCCACGCGGGTAGTTACCACCAAGATGCCTATTTCTGCCGTGAAGCAGTAATGCGTTTCGGTTTGAAGGGTGCGGCAGCCGGTGTAACTATACTGAGACATTAGAACTCTAACTCAAGTTAGGTGTAGTCGAAATTCGACTATAATTAATTGAAAATAAAAGTTTCAACATTATTATGGTCCTATTGTTACAGATTTCGCCAAGACTACACTATACATAGACAAATACTCGTAATATTAAAGATAAACAATACTAACCTTTTCTCAGTTTGACTACAGAGTTTAAGCAATAACAAAAGTTTTATAATAAATAAAGAGTATGTGTGAGTGTGCGTCAAATACATGCTAGTGTGTGTAATGTTTTCTTTATTGATTTAAAGTATTTTAAGCCATAATTTAAAAAAAAAAATAGCATTCTGCCCTTCTTCTCTATATTCTCTATAAGTGTGGAAAATTTCATACTCCTCTGTCCGCGCAATTTACGTAAAAAGGGATACACAAAGTTTTTGCTTTACGTATTAATATATAGATAAACCGTGTTACCGTCGGCAGCTCCGAACCGAGCTGGAGACAATGAGGTCGTCCATAACGAGTCAGGCCCGCGAGCACGTGCGGGCGGACGAGGTGCTACTCACGTTCGGGGCCAGCGCTCTGGTCGAGCGGTTCCTGAGGCCGACCCAGAACAGAAACTGCAAGGTCGTCGTCGCGGAGGGAACTGACGTCGGCGAGGTGGGGATGATTCTCGTGTATATATCGGCTTAACACATCTTTTTTTTTCCTACCTATGCTGATAGCCTTGAGAGGCTATTTCAGCTTCGCCCTAACGTTTGTAGGTGAGCTCACGGGGCTCAACCGGAGAGTTGCTAACACTGGCCCTAGCAAGAGCCGTGCTTCGCAGAATCTACCACCGGATCGGAAACGCGACCCACTGAGAAGATCCGGCGATAAACTCAGTGGGCCGTGTCTGTGGGTTAATTCGCTCGTCGAGCCCTTCGTCGCAAGCGACGGGTTCGACGAGGACGGTGACCGGTGCTTGTGGTACCTAAAAGCACCATCCCGCCCCTCCTGACTGAGCCTTTGCTCGCCCACCTGTCCTGGTGAAACTGGAAAGGCCACCAGTAATCCTACCTTCATAAAATATAATAATACCATGTATGTTTGTTTGTTTGTAACAGAATATTTGAACGGCTTCAAAATGGCCGATCAGTTTGAGATTTCGCACCTATTTGTTGACTCATTTTCAATGATAACTATGTTTTGGCGTGTAATAAAGTCGATCTGCCTCTTTCTAGATGTAGAAAGAGGGAGGGATGCCTCCCTCCCTCTACCTCCCCTTCTTCCCATCCCTCTACCCTCTTTCCCGTTTTTACCTCCCCCTCTCACCCACCCCCTCTACACCCCTTCTCCCCACTTCCACCCTCTTTCCCGTTTCTACCTCTTCCCTCTCTCTCCCACTCCCTCTACACCCTCTAACCTCTTCCGTTTCTACCTCCCCTCCCCCGTTCACCCCGTTCCTCTACCCTTTCTCCGTTTCTACCTCCCCTCCCCTCTCTTCTTATCCCTCTATCCTCTCCTGTTTCTACCTCCTCTTCCCCTCTCCCTCACTCCCTCCCTCAACACGGATTGTTTGCCGCCTTTTAACGCGGTCACGCTTTCCTATTTGGAGAGTGGGAGTGCTGGTAGTGCTGGGAGTGGTACCACAGCGGAGACTTAGACTACATTTGTCAAAGTAAGTGACGAGAAGCACTGACGTCTATGGGCCCCGGTAACTTTATCATCGGGTGGACCGAGAACAAATGAATGATGATTTTAATTAAATAAAGTTTTGCCTGCAGAGTCACGCCATGGCACGGCGGCTGAGTAATTCTGGTGTTTCGGTCACGGTCATCAATAGTTCGTGTGTGTTCGCGGTGATGTCGAGGGTCAACAAGGTGTGTCGCTTTGAAATCTGTTTAAATTATGAACGTGGTAATAAAATATGTCGAAAGAAGTTTCACTTCTGAAGGTAATCTTGTTTATTAATTAACCAATCTCTGGTGTTGTCTGGTAGAAGTGATGTTAGTGCAGCCTGTAATTTAAAGTGACGATGCTGTAATGGCTTGTAACGTGACAGAAGTGCAACTTCTTTGCTGGTTAGGAGAAAAAAACATGTATTTCCCGCGTGCTATTTCTATTGAAACCTGCTTCACGACGTTATTCATTTGAAACTACGACCTCATGTTGTCCACAGACCACGATGACCTGCGAATACTAAATAGTTTGAAATAAAAACTATTAAATTTTACTGAAAACTGTGAAATATTTTATAAATCGATATCTCTGATGCTCTCAATCCAGCTACCGTTAGGTAATTTTTTTTATTGTCCTTGTAGGCTGTCGAGCATACGGCCCACCTGATGGTGAGTGGTTACTGTCGTTGCGTCTGCAATGAAAGGGACAGAGCCAAGCCGCTACCCATTTTTAAGTCCTATAAAATGTATTTTTATTTTTTATTGCTTAAATGTGTGGACGAGCTCACAGCCCACCTGGTGTTAAGTAGTTACTTGAGCCCATAGACATTTACAACCTTGAGATATAAGTTCTAAGGTCTCAGTATAGTTACAACGGCTGCCCCGCCCTTCAAATCGAAACGCATTACTGCTTCACGACAGAAATAGGCGGGGTGGTGGTACCTACCCGTGTGGACTCATAAGAGGTCCTACCACCAGTCCACCAGTCTCAATCATGTCTCCGTGTGTCGGGGATCAGGTGGTGGTCGAGGTGCAGGCTGCGATGGGGGGCGGCGCGGTCCTTGGGGACGCAGGCCTCCATTCCGTCACCCTCGCCGCTAAATACTACAAAATACCGGTAAATCATCATCATCATCATCATCATCCTCCTACCCTTCTCCTAGTTACCTGGGGTCGGCGTAACATGTCTTCTCCTTCCACACTCCTCTATCATATACCATTTCTTCGCTTACTCCCCTCTTACACATATCGTCTTTCACGCAATACATTCATATACAGGGTGTTCCCAAAAAATATTGTCAAGCCGAAGTGCAGAGGTAGATGATTTTTAACAAAATACATATGTTATAAATTTCTTTGTTAAGGTACTTTTTTTGGTGTAGAAGTAAATTTCCATCCATAGGTCTAAATTAATCTTTAAAAATTTTTTTTTTAAGTAAAAAAGTTAAAAATCTTGTATGTTTTTGTAAACTTTGAAGCGTAGTTAAAACATAATCTATACATATAAATAAAATTGGTGTGTCTGTTTGTAATATTGAAATAACCGCTTTTTACTACATGCATATGAATATATATACGGTACATACACCAAAATAATCTTTTTTACAATTTTTGTCTGTCTGTCTGTCTGTCTGTTCCGGCTAATCTCTGGAACGGCTGGACCGATTTTGACAAGACTCACTGATAGGTAGCTGATGATATGAGGAGTAACTTGAGCTACATTTTTGAGACTAGCTTCGCCCCGCGGCGTCACCCGCGGTACGACAATAACCGTGGGTAACATCGCGGGACGCAGCTATCAATAATAAAATTTAATATTTCCGAAGCGAAGCGAGGGCGGGTCGCTAGTGTTACATAAACCTGTGTACATATATGGATGTAAATACTTGTGTACCTTTTAATATTCGCGCCGCAATGACCAAAAAAGTCTGGTCCGTCTCTGTGCAGGTAGTGGCATTGGCGCCTCTGTACCGGATGCTGCCCCATCATCTCTACGACCCCCAGAGCTTCGGTTCCCTGTCGTCGCCGCTACAGACCATGGAATACGCGTAAGTTCGAAAATAAAAAAAAATAAAAAACTCAGCCGTGTCCGTACGCTTCTGTGCTCTACGCGGCCACAGAGCATAGAAGAGTACAGGCTTGCTTTTTTTAAGAGGTTTACTGGTGTTTTACTAGTGGTAGGACCTCTTCTGAGTCCGCGTGGGTGGGTTACCACCACCCTGCCTGTTTCTGCCGTGAAGCAGTAATGCGTTTCGGTTTGAAGGGTGGGGCAGCCGTTGTAACTATACTGAGACCTTAGAACTTATATCTCAAGGTGGGCGACGCGTTTACGTTGTAGATATCTATGGGCTCCAGTAACCACTTAACACCAGGTGGGCTGTGAGCTCGTCCACCCATATAAGCCCAGACGTGAATTAGAGGAACTCTTGGTTTAGGGTCGCGCCGTGGGTAGAACACCGATCAGATGGTCAGATCTGGTCAAGGAAGCGGTTTGGAGGTAGTCCATACAATGTGGTCCATGACATCAATGATCGAACACCGTGGAGGAAAGTTACATGTGGTCTTTACAATAAAATAATTTTTTCTTACACTCTTTTCAATTCAAATTTATTAAAATTTATTTTCTCTATTTTAGTTGGATTTTCTATAAAAGCGTATTTTGTTAGTTTTTTTAAACTATTATTTATTTTTCATTTTTTAGTTGAATTTAAATTTTTTCAATTATATATTTTTTTAATATTGAATTGTCATCGGTCCTTAATAAGTATACCAAATTTGGAGTTAATCTGACGTTTTGAAGGAGGTCAAAATCGTGTTCAAAGATTCCGTTACATACTAACATACATACGTCTGAAGCTAATTGTATACCACGGGCCAGTCGGTGTGGCTGGGCGGTGACCCATAGCGCCACTGACGCTTGAACTAAGCGATGTAATAATAAACGTCAGCTACATACTTTGGTTTAACCACAAATGACGTCATACGTAAGCATTTTTTTTTTGTAACAGCGACTGCGGCTCAGACTCCCTGCAGGTCCTCGCTCCGAAGTTCGACTTCGTCCCGCCAGACCACATCACGCTGTTCATAACTAATCAGTAAGTGACAGCTGTTATTGTCATCGTCAGGGTCAGTTTTTTTTCCGGGCCGATGGCCGAACCTCCTACTAGGTCCCCGCGCCTAGGGGGCGCGCGGACCTCAATGAGGTCTCTCTGCAAGGTGTTGAGAGCAGACCGCGGACCCAAGGAATTTTAGGGCCTACCCACCAAACGACTCCCCTGCACTCTTGCACCCGACGTCCGATCTCCGTCCGGGGTCAAAACCCGGTCAGAGTGGAGGGGTTCCCGCGGTCAACACTACAACCAGACACGCGGCGCCACCCCGAGCACGCCTGAGGACCAACGACGCCGGTCTCTGCGGTACATCAGGGTTCAGACATGCCACAACCCTATATGTCGCAATGTAGCAGTTGAGACTTCTCATGTGATGCCCACGGGCTCCTATCCCCTTGAATGCGCTAGTTGGGAGTCCATGCGCGTCCCCTGGCGTATGCTGTCAGATACCTAGTTCGTAGTGACAAAATCACCATCAAGGAACATATAAAGCACTAAATTGGTGTGGAAGGAACTGCCCTATACAGCATCTCCTGAAACGTCCTTCTTCAAATGAGGCTTGAGGAGTCCACAGCACTTGGCAGGGGCTCATATCGTCTTCTCGCATTTAAACTGTATAATCTCAAAACTTACTAATTTTACAGGAGTGTTTTAAATGTTTAACATGTGGTATTTTTAATATTAATAATCAATCATCTTTGCAACATTTATTTTTTATTTTTTACCAGTTACATTATCTGTCTTTTAAAGTAAGATAAAATTATGTATTAATTTTGTTAATAGTAGTCAAAACATAGGTAAACTAAAAAAAAGAACTAAAACTAAACTACGCTCTTTTGACAGTATTTATAATAAAAATACTGGTGATACCAAATGATTCCGCATATTAACTCAATCTCGAATATTTTTGGAAATTGTACACTTTTAATGCGAAAAGACGATATGTGCGGTAGGCAGCGGCTTGGCTCTGCCCCTGGCATTCCTGAAGTCCATGGGCGACGGTAACCGCTCACCATCAGGTGGGCCGTATGCTCTTCTGCCTACAAGGGCAATAAAATAAAAAATAAAAATGTGCCTCTCTTAAGCTCATATCCGTGAGCGACCGTCTCCACTCTCCACCGGATGGATTCGTCTCCAGAAAAAGGCAATGCTTAAAAGATGGGTGGACGAGCTCACAGTTAAGTCGGTACAAGAGCCCATAGGCGATTATATAACGCTTAGAGAAGTTTTAAGGTCTCAATATAGTTGCAACGGCTAACTACCTCAAACCGAAACGCATTACTGCTTCAAGGCAGAAATAGGCGGGGCGGTGGTACCTACCCGCGCGGACTCAGAAGAGGTCCTACAACCAGTAGACACTCTTTAGACATCACCTCTTCATTCGAAATGCTCATTAATGGAGATTCAATATAATTAATACGAAAATGAAGGTAGATTTTACTACCACAATTTCCCTCTTTGCTTTTTTTCCTTAAATATTTGGACGAGCTCACAGTCCACCTGGTGTTAATTGGTTACTGGAGCCTATAGACATCTATAACGTAGATGCGCCACCCACCTTGAGATGTAAGTTCTAATGTCTCAGTATAGTCACAACGGCTGCCCCGCCCTTCAAACCGAAACGCTTCACGGCAGAAATAATGACTTAATTATGATTTAATATAATTCACCTCTTCGCTTTGTCGAAGCAATCAATTCATGGCTTCAAATAGAATTGTCTTAATTTCTCTCTTTTTATTATCGTTTCGACTGCGTCCACAATGTTCTAGAGCATTCTAGAGATGTTCCAGTTCTTTCGATATCAGTTTTCGCTGTTTAACGACAGATGGCGTTACTCGTACTGACAATGTTTTATTATTTTTATTCTAGGGGAGGAAGCTGCCCGTCCTACATCTACAGATTACTGTCAGAGATATACGATCCTAAAGATTATCAAATTTGATTGTAGGGTGTGTAAATAAATAAATTTATTATTATATTTTATCATGAGGTGTTTTATTTACGACTAGCTGACACGGCAGACTTCGTAGTGCCTCAATCGACAAATAAAATACCTAAACTTTTGTATAAAATAAACTTAAAACAAACAAAAGGAATCCGTCCGACGGGGGACACGTCAAAAGAAAAACAAAATTGTTATTTTTATTTAATTCCGAGCATTTTCATATTTATCTACCTTTTAAACCTTCTCTGGACTTCGACAAATAATTCAAGACCAAAATTAGTCAAATCGGTCCAGCCTTTCTCGAGTTTTAGCGAGACTAACGAACAGCGAATCATTTTTATATATAGATATAGATAGATAGATTAATAAAAGCTTTGACGAGCTCACCCCACTTCGACAAAGCGGCACGACACGAGAACTCTCTCATAGTGGCCGTCGGTAACTACATAGCCGATCCTGCGAACCAAATGGTAAGCAGTCGACGTCGCCCAAAACACGTCATCTCGGATCCTCTCGATCCACTAACGGTGCTTTTAGGTACCACAAACACCGGTCACCGTTCTCGTCGAACCCGTCGCTTGCGACGAAGGGCTCGACGAGTAAATTAACCCATATACACAGCCCACTGAGTTTCTCGCCGGATCTTCTCAGTGGGTCGCGTTTTCGATCCGGTAGTAGATTCATTCGCGAAACAGATACTCTTGAGTTGTTAGGTCTCCCTTGGAGACGCTCGGGTAGCTGTTAGCAAATCCCGCCCCTTTTACCTGAGCCCTTACTCACCCACCCGTCCTTGTGAAACTGGAAAAGCCTCAGGGCCACGTGGGGCATGGCACAAAAAAGATTCGGAAGCACTGGTCTAAATCATTGAATCGCGATTTTGCAGGATATCCGCCTGAGCACACCGGTAAGGAACATAGATCTTCACGACAACCTAAAATTAAAATCTACCAATAACTATAAGCCGCGCCAATAAAGAAACGAACCTAAAATGGCGGCGGCGATCATGCTATCTCTCACTCTAAACTATTGCTGTCTCTAGTCGCACACGGCGCGTACTGTATGCAAAAAAAAATATCAGTTCTGATTTTGTTGTTGAGTTTGAGTTTTTTTACTTTCGAGTTGTGCGCCTTAGATGACCGGCAGTAAAAGTGTCTACGCAAGTTGCATCCCAGATGAGACATCTCCTCCTCTGCCAGGGCATAAAGTAAAGTACTTTCTCATTTGTTTTTTTTTTATTTTTTTTACAATAAACAACTTTTTCTTTCTATCTTTCTTTTTATCTGTTGTCCCTACCGTCTGTCAGTGCAGGTACATAGAGGCCATTTTCGATTCGTTTCTTTATTGGCGCGGCTTATCTAATATATAAAATTCTCGTGTCACAATGTTCGTTCCCATACTCCTCCGAAACCGCTTGACCGATTCTCATGAAATTTTTTATGCATATTCAGTAAGCCTGAGAATCGGCTACTATCTATTTTTCATACCCCTAAGTGATTAGGGTTGTCCAACCCTAACATATTTTTTTTATTTGGACTTTTTTTTTTGTTATAATGAGGTATTATGTGGTTGAATGAGGTTTTGTTATTTTTATTATATATTCCCTCATCGTTCACAGCACTACATACCTCTTTCACTCATTCACCACATCCTTACACACTTACAATAAGTTAGTTTTTTTTTCCACACTAGAAATTCCCTAGAAATCTCATATATGGCAAAACAATGTTTGCCGGGTCAGCTAGTATCTAAATAAAATATGATGAATAATTCCTAATGCTTTACGTCTGCTTAAGTTTTGTATTCGAGTTCATCTTTTGATACTTTGTTCTTGTTTCTTATTTTAATTGTTTATGTTTTTTATATGTTTTTATATATGTATTTTAATAGTTTATGCTGCGTTTTAAGCCTGCACCCACGTATCCAGCCATTAATTCCACTTTTTTTGAAGTGAAAAATCGTTGTGGTTTCAAACCGGATGCAACGGAAAAAATGACAGGTAAGAGACACAAATACAAAAGAATTTTTTTTTTTTTTTTATTGCTTAGATGGGTGGACGAGCTCACAGCCCACCTGATGTTAAGTGGTTACTGGAGCCCATAGACATCTACAACGTAGACGCGCCACCCACCTTGAGATACAAGTTCTAAAGTCTCAGTATAGTTACAACGGCTACCCCACCCTTCAAACCGAAACGCATTACTGCTTCACGGCAGAAATAAGCAGGGCGGNTGTTTCCGAGTCGTGTAATAATATTTTCTGCTGTCTGTTTGTGCGCTGGTAGAAGACGGCTGTTTCTTTCGATGGGTTTCGGCTTCTGTAGCGAGGTTTCACAGGTAACTGTCTGGTTCACTGGTAGCTGATTCACTGGTGGTTTTCTGATAACTGTACTATTGGAGAACTGCTGGTAACTGTTTCTGTCTTGCTGATGGTTCTTTGTCGGAGAGCTTCTGAGAACTGTTTCTGTCTTGATGATCTGCTGAGAACTGTTTGTTTCTTGATGTTTCTATGTCGGAGATTCGCTGAGAACTGTTTCTGTCGAAGATCCACTGAGAACTGTTTTTGCCTATAAATGGCCATCCTTTTATATTTATTTCAGTACCCCATCTCGCGACGCGCTATCGACGCGTCACTTTCGGAGGGTTCCTTGATCTGTATGTTACCGTAGTGAAAGCGCTCCACGAATTGTTCCTATTGGTCTATTCACATTCTCTGATCTGATACACTAACATATTGCATATTAAATAATTTAAGATTATACATTTTTGTTACGTAATTACTTATCAACTATATTAATTCTATTTGTTTGATAAAACTATTTAAAACCCTATTTCGTCCTGCACACATATGGTCTTGCAATACATTTGTATACAGGGTGTCCCAAAAAATATTGTCAAGCCGAAGTGCAGAGGTAGATGATTTTTAACAAAATACATATGTTATAAATTTCTGTGTTAAGGTACTTTTTTTGGTGTAGAAGTAAATTTCCAACCATAGATTGAAATTAATCTTTAAAAAAAAAAATTGAAAGTAAAAAAGTTAAAAATCTTGTATTTTTTTGTAAACTTTCAAGCGTAGTTAAAAAATAATCTATACATATAAATAAAATTGGTGTCTGTTTGTAATATTGAAATAACCGCTTTTTGCTACATGCATGTGAATATGTATACGGTACATACACCAAAATAATATTTTTTACAATTTTTGTCTGTCTGTCTGTCTGTTTGTTCCGGCTAATCTCTGGAACGGCTGGACCGATTTTGACGGGACTTTCACTGATAGGTAGCTGATGATATGAGGAGTAACTTGAGCTACATTTTTGAGACTAGCTTTGCCTCGCGGCGTCATCCGCGGTACGACAATAACCGCGGGTAACATCGCGGGACGCAGCTATCAATAATAAAATTTAATGTTTCCGAAGCGAAGCGAGGGCGGGTCGCTAGTGTTACATAAACCTGTGTACATATATGGATGTAAATACTTGTGTACCTTTTAATATTCGCGCCGCAGTGACCAAAAAAGTCTGGTCCGTCTCTGTGCAGGTAGTGGCATTGGCGCCTCTGTACCGGATGCTGCCCCATCATCTCTACGACCCCCAGAGCTTCGGTTCCCTGTCGTCGCCGCTACAGACCATGGAATACGCGTAAGTTCGAAAAAAAAAAAAAACTCAGCCGTGTCCGTACGCTTCTGTACTCTACGCGGCCACAGAGCATAGAAGAGTACAGGCTTGCTTTTTTTAAGAGGTTTACTGGTGTTTTACTGGTGGTAGGACCTCTTCTGAGTCCGCGTGGGTGGGTTACCACCACCCTGCCTATTTCTGCCGTGAAGCAGTAATGCGTTTCTGTTTGAAGGGTGGGGCAGCCGTTGTAACTATACTGAGATCTTAGAACTTATATCTCAAGGTGGGCGACGCATTTACGTTGTAGATGTCTATGGGCTCCAGTAACCGCTTATCACCAGGTGGGCTGTGAGCTCGTCCACCCATATAATAAGCCCAGACGTGAATTAGAGAAGCTCTTGGTTTAGGGTCGCGCCGTGGGTAGAACACCGATCAGATGGTCAGATCTGGTCAAGGAAGCGGTTGGAGGTAGTCCATACAATGTGGTCCATGACATCAATGATCGAACACTGTGGAGGAAAGTTACATGTGGTCTTCACAATAAAATCATTTTTTCTTACTCTTTTTAATTCAAATTTATTAAAATTTATTTTCCATATTTTAGTTGGATTTCTATAAAAGCGTATTTTGTTAGTTTTTTTAAACTATTATTTATTTTCATTTCAATTTTTCAATTTTTTCTATATTGAATTGTCATCGGTCCTTAACAAGTATACCAAATTTTGAGTTAATCCGACGTTTTGAAGGGGGTCAAAATAATGTTCAAAGATTCCGTTACATACTAACATACATACGTCTGAAGCTAATTGTATACCACGGGCCAGTCGGTGTGGCTGGGCGGTGACCCATAGCGCCACTGACGCTTGAACTAAGCGATGTAATAATAATAATCGTCAGCTACATACTTTGGTTTAACCACAAATGACGTCACACGTAAGCAATTTGTTTTTTTTTTGTAACAGCGATTGCGGCTCCGACTCCCTTCAGGTCCTCGCTCCGAAGTTCGACTTCGTCCCGCCAGACCACATCACGCTGTTCATAACTAATCAGTAAGTGACAGCTGTTATTGTCATCGTCAGGGTTCAGTTTTTTTTTTCCGGGCCGGGGGCCGGACCTCCTACTAGGTCCCCGCGTCTAGGGGGCGCGCGGGGTATGTGGGACTCAACGATCTGCATGGTGTTGTGAGCAGACTGCGGGCCCAAGGAATTTTAGGACCTACCCACCAAACGACTCCCTTGCACTCTTACACCCGACGTCCGATCTCCGTCCGGGGTCAGAACCCGGTCAGAGTAGGGGGGTTTCCGCGGTCAACACTACAACCAGACACGCGGCGCCACCCCGAGCACGCCTGAGGACCAACGACGCCGGTCTCCGCGGTACGGCAGGGTTCAGACATGCCACAACCCTATAAATCACAACGTAGCAGTTCAGTCTTCTCATGTGATGCCCACGGGCTCCTATCCCCTTGAATGCGTTAGTTGGGAGTCCACGCGCGTCCCCTGGCGTATGCTGTCAGATACCTATTTCGTGGTGACAAAATCACCATCAAGGACCGTATACAGCACTAAATGGGCGTGGAAGGAACTGTCCTATACAGTATCTCCTGAAATATCCTTCTTCAAATGAGGCTTGAGGAGTCCACAGCACTCAGCAGGTGCTCATATGTGCCTCTGTTAAGCTCATATCCGTGAACAACCGCCTCCACTCTCCACTGGATGGATTCGTCTCCAGAAAAAGGCAATGCTTAAAAGATGGGTGGACGAACTCACAGCCCACAGTTAAATGGTTACTGGAGCCCATAGACATCTACAATGTAGATGCGCTACCCACCTTGAGATATAAGTTCTAAGGTCTCAATATAGCAGCGGTCGGGGAACTTTTTTAATAATTATTACCCCAAAATATTTTTATGTTAGTTGATATTGCCCTATGGCAAAGAACGAAATCGCTTCTTTTAGCATCTTTCATATTATAGCCCCCGTGATAATTTTGCAAAAAAAATATCTTATTTTTTCGTTTCGTTTCATTGAGTTTGAAATCACAACGATAAATCTAAAGAAGTTTCACTTCAATATATACTTTTTACTCACAAAAGTTTCATTTTTACCCCCCAAAATTTCATTTTACCCCGTTTGAGGTAATTTACCCCGCTTCCCCGACCGTTGCAGTATAGTTATAACGGCTGCCCCACCCTTCAAACCGAAACGCATTACTGCTTCACTATTATAATGCCCCTCTTCGCTTTTCGAGGCCATCAGTTCGTGGCTTCGAATAAAATTGTCTTAATGTTTCGACTGTGTTCACAATGTTCTAGAGCATTCTAGAGATGTTCCAGTTCTTTCGATATCAGTTTTCGTTGTTTAACGACAGATGGCGTTACTCGTACTGACAATGTTTTATTATTTTTATTCTAGGGGAGGAAGCTGCCCGTCCTACATCTACAGATTACTGTCAGAGATATACGATCCTAAAGATTATCAAATTTGATTGTAGGGTGTGTAAATAAATAAATTTATAATTATATTTTATCATGAGGTGTTTTATTTACGACTAGCTGACCCGGCAGTATTCGTGCCTCAATCGACAAATAAAAGACCTAAACTTTTGTATAAAATAAACTTAAAACAAACAAAAGGAATCCGTCCGACGTGGGGGACATCAAAGGGAAAACAAAATTGTAATTTTTTTTTTTATTCCGAGCATTTTCATATTTATTTACCTTTTAAGCCTTCTCTGGACTTCCAAAAATCATTCAAGACCAAAATTAGCCAAATCGGTCCAGCCGTTCTCGAGTTTTAGCGAGACTAACGAACAGCAATTCATTTTTATACATATATAGAGATAGATAGATAGATTAATAAATTTGATGGGTTGATTTTTTTAGATTGGAATTGGTATAGAGTAAAGTCGTCCGTGGTCTAATGTGTAAGACGCTCAATGTATTGGTGCTTTGACAAGCTCACCCCACTCCGAAAAAGCGGCACGACACGAGAACCCTCTCATTGTGGCCGCCGGTAACTATATAGCCGATCCTGCGAACCAAATGGTAATCAGTCGACGTCGCCCAAAACACGTCATCTCGGATCCTCCCGATCCACTAACGGTGCTTTTAGGTACCCCAAGCACGGGTCATCGTTCCCATCGAACCCGTCGCTTGCGACGAAGGGCTCGACGGGTAAATTAACCCACAGACACAGCCCACTAAGTTTCTCGCTGGATCTTCTCAGCGGGTCGCGATTCTGATCCGGTAGTAGATTCATTCGCGAAGCAGCTACTCTTGAGTTGTTAGGTCTCCCTTGGAGGCGTTTGGGTAGCTGTTAGCAAATCCCGCCCCTTCTGGTTGAGCCCTTGCTCGCCCAACTGTCCTTGTGAAACTGGAAAGGCCTCAGGGCCACGTGGGGCATGGCACAAAAAAGTTTGGGAAACACTGGTCTAAATCATTGAATAGCGTTTTTGCAGGATATCCGCCTGAGCACACCGGTAAGGAACATAGATCTTCACGAAAAACTTAAATTAGATTCTACCAATAACTATAAGCCGCGCCAATAAAGAAACGAACCTAAAATGGCGGCGGCGATCATGCGTTCTCTCACTCTAAACTACTGCTGTCTTTAGTCGCACACGGCGCGTACTGTATGCAAAAAAATATCAGTTCTGATTTTGTTGTTGAGTTCGGGTTTTTTCTCTTTAGAGTTGTGCGACTTAGGTGACTGGCAGCAAAAGTGTCTACGCAAGTTGCATCCCAGATGAGACATCTCCTCCTTTGCCAGGGCATAAAGTAAAGTACTTTCTCATTTGTTTTTTTATATTTTTTTACAATAAACAACTTTTTCTTTCTAACCTTCTTTTTATCTGTTGTCCCTACCATCTGTCAGTGCAGGTACATAGACGCCATTTTCGATTCGTTTCTTTATTGGCGCGGCTTATATCTGAATAAAATATGGTGAATAATTCCCAATGCTTTACGTCTGCTTAAGTTCTGTATTCGAGTTCATCTTTTGATACTTTGTTCTTGTTTCTTATTTTAATTGTTTTTAATTTTATTATAATTTTATTTTAATTTTAATAGTTTATGCTGCGTTTTAAGCCTGCACCCACGTATCCAGCCATTAATTCCACTTTTTTTGAAGTGAAAACTTCTTTAGAATCGTTGTAATTTCAAACCGGATGCAACGGAAAAAACGACAGGTAAGAGACACAAATACAAAAGAATGAGACAGATATACATACTATTTAATACAGCGCCATCTGTGAGATTTTTTTAATACTAATGTGTGTATGAAAGCTCTTGTAGTGAATTTTAATTTAGGATTATACGTGAAATTAAAATATCAATTCACAGAGGGCGCTACCTTACAATTATTTACTAATGACAAAATTTTAAGACGTTTAGGATAATTGTATTTTAATTTTGGAAGGTTTCACTTCTACCACGTGTGAATTGCACACATGTTTATTTCCTACCTAAGCTGCAGAAAGATGCAGTTCGTCATAGCAGCATTTAAGATGGTGGCCAACATTGTTATCAGTTGGGCTGGTAACATTTTTAGCGCGCGATTGCGGATGCCGTCGGAGCCGGGAGCTTTCCGTGGTTGCAGTTTAGCAATCGCCTCCTTAACCTCGGAAGTGGTAATGGGGGGTAACGCGTCCGAGGGCGGCAGGAAAGCTCTGCGCTCGACCTCCCCGTCGACTAACTCGGTGTGTTCGGGGTCCGCGTATTGAGTGCTGGCCGATGCACTGCTCTTGCAACGCATTGGCCAGCAGCCCTGCCTTGTCATCGTCATCGTAAGCCGGTGGTTGGCCTGAGGGGGCGTACTAGAGGCGGCATAGTGACGATAGTTTCGGACTTGAGGGTCCTAGCTAGTCGCCAGCACGCTTGGTGAGTGGGCGCGAGTTCTTCTAAGTAACTATCCCAATTCTCATTTCGGGCGTCGCTTAGGCGGGATTTCACCTCCCGCTGTAGACGACGCATCCGAATCCGGTTTGAATCCGTGGAATATCGATGGTAGGCCCGGATTGCCACGTGCCTGACTCTTAAGAGATCTCTAAGCTCGGGGGAAAGTCTGATGCGGTGGAAGCAGTCCTCCACACGACTTGTTTCGAAGACCTTATGATCGCGGTCGAGACGTGTTCGGTAAGGATATTTATGGATTCGACTGTGTTCTCGGGGGATGGAATTGAATTCGGGCCGCAGGGGAGGATTGGTGGAGCGGCATCAGCTAAGCACGTGCCCAGCTTCTTCCAATCCACCATGGTCCTCGTAACTGTTTCCTGGTTGAGTGGGCGACCGAGCTGCATGACGACAGGTCGGTGGTCTGAGTCGAGTTCTGACAGTGCCTCGATGGAGCGCAAGCGCAGAGTTACGTTCCTCAGCAGTGCCAAATCTATTGTGCTCGGACGATGCGCGGCGTTGTACGGATAGCACGTGGAGGTCGAGGGGCTGAATATTTCGAATGTGAGGTCGTCTATGAACGCGTTGAGACGCCTACCGTTCACATTCGTGCGATGGCAATTCCACCTAGTGTGGTGGCAATTTAGATCGCCTGCCAGAAAGACTGCGTCAGCCACACCGAGCAGTGTCTTGAGGTCACTGCTCAGGAGGGGTTTGTCAGGGGGGAGGTAGACGGATGCGATGACGATCGGCTGGTGTCCCGTCAGCGCGATACGGCACACTGACGCCTCGATATGCAAGAGCGAGGGAGTATCGAGAGGGACAACGTGCAGGGCCCTCCTATAGTAAATGACAGTCCCGCCCTTGGGGGCGGAGAGTCTGTCATTCCTAACTATGACGTATTAATTCCACAATAACCCAAAGAGAAACGAGAATGATTGAAAATCAGCGCAGTTCGATGCCTCAACTTTGAACAGCCTTAGCTGAGCCAAATCATTTTGCATTTTTTTTTGTCATTTATCTATGTATGTACTTGTAATGATCTAAATCTGTGTGAAAAGCAATAAATCATTTTATTTATTTATTGTAATATATCTAACTAGCTTTTGCCCGCGACTCCGTCCGCGTGGAATAGTTACTTTGGCATAACGCTAAATTTTACCTCCCACTTCTTTTACGTAGAACTGAAAATATTTTTGAATTATAGAATGCTAAGGAGCTATTTAAAGTAAACTCCTATTTTGAAATATTATTGGTGCTCCACTTGTATTGCTCTCACCGTGATGTTATATAGCCTATTATAGCCTTCCTCAATAAATGGGCTAGCTAACACTGAAAGAATTTTTCAAATCGGACCAGTAGTTCCTGAGATTAGCGCGTTCAAACAAACAAACAAACTCTTCAGCTTTATAATATATTAGTCTAAATATATAGTTAGTTTTCCTAACAGTCCTGACTGGTGTTAAATGGTTACTTGACCCTACAAATATCACAATTTAAATGCCATAGACTACTTTGAAGCTGTCTTACACCTAAGACCAGATGCATCACTGCTTCGCAGTTTTTCATCCCAATGTTGGACTTAAGAACGAATTTGAAATCTCCGGAATGTGTGAACACGCTAAAAACAATTTTCTGTGTTCACTCATTAAAATCATAAAGTCTTCAAAATGATTTTTTCTGTTACTATGCCTAATGAATTTTTAAATGGTTCCGATAACCATGAAAATATAATTACCGCAACGTTAAGTTATTCCCACGCGTTCTCACTTCTCAGTAATACAATAAAAGATAAGGCGTTATTTTTATTCCCTTCCGCATTTGCGACACTCGCTTATTTTAGTCGAAAAACGAAACATGCGTTGCAAAATTAAACGAATAACAGTGAAAGTAGGACTGGCAGGTTGTGTCATCACGAATTTTGTCTACGCATACCAGCACAAACGCCATAGTTTGACAAAAATTATAATAAATAAAAAAGGAAACACAATTTTCACGGAAATAACCAAACAAACTCTAACGTTATCTCTGTCTAACGTGCGTGTTCGGACGGGAAGGCATGTTTACGTTTGTGACTAACTTCAGGTTGCAATTACGCCGTCATGTTGGCTGTACTATAATAACAATGGGTTTGGCATTGAACGCTTAAAGCGCTGTAGTGCTTCAACATTGTTGACCTGATAAACGATTAGATTTGTTTGAGAATGATAAAGCGAGTAAAGCGCTGCATTGTACGATCGGGACGAGTTGTGTAAACTTTTTATGATTATGACTTACGCGAGGCTTATGTACGTATCGGTCGCACGTACAGAGCGTTTTGTGTTACGTTATCTTGTATTTTCACTTAGTTTTCGTTCGTTTTTTTCCCGTTTCAAAGACTATTTCGGTGTTGCGTAAGGACAATGAAATGTGTTTGATGCTGAATAGTTAAACGTAGCTCAGTTCGATAGTGCATGACGACACGAGATTACCAAGTCTGATTCACATTAATTATGTGAGCGGTGACGAACCATTTTAAGTGCGCGATAACACGCCCTCCCGTTGTTCTCTGTTGCTTTCTGCTTCTTTGTTCACGGACCAAACTGTTAATTTTCAACAAAACAAAGTTTCAGCAAAAAAAGTTTTTCTATAATAAAATAAAAAATCAATATTTTTATTCTCTGACAAGTGAAGGTTTCATTTTTAACTGAAACAATAATAGCAAAATTAACACGATATTATAAAGCAAACAAACTCATCAACAATTTTTACCTAGTACCACACTTAATTAAATTATTCATGTTCTAAAAAAAACTAACTTGGCGGCCAAATTTAAACTTGGTTCACACAAACACTACAGAGGTCGCGCCTCCTGACATTGTGACGTTGTCGCGCTTGCCCGTGCATTCGTACGAACTTCACTACATACCAGTGCTTTCCAAAACACAGGCAGCGTAGGGCTCCATCGGGGTCCTCCAGCCTTGGAACGTGTTTATACCACATTAGTGTCTTCGTTAAGTACTTTAGTGCTTGTTTTTGAAGGTGTTGGTGGTGTTAAGTGAAATTGCAGCACTGAATAAGCTTGGATCGATAGTGCTGCGTACTATGCCTTGTTTAAGATGAGTCAAGGTGGATCACGCAGACCTTATTCGCGTGGGGGCCAACGCTGGCACCCGCGCTACAAGGACTACTGGGACTACGAGCAGAGTTACAGGTACCTATTTTCATGAATGAGTTATTAGATAGGATAAGATTTCAAAATGTCCCAAGTTAATTTTTTTTCCATCTGCTGAAGTGAAGCACAGATGAAAAAATTTAACCCACGTGACTTTGAAGCTGTAGTGTTGCAATTTGAATTTTACTAATTAGTTTTTATGGGTGGCTTCAAAAAAATTTGTAATTCTAGTAATTGCCCAGTATTTCTTTAAACTTGAAGCAGTTTTACAGTTATTATCTTAAAATACACTATGGTTTGCATTTTGAGGTATTAGGGCTGAGTAATATTATGTACATGACCACTTAAGATTAACATGACATGATTCTAGAAGGCGCATTTTTTTTGTTAATATTTTTTTATTTATTGATGGTACTAGACTAATATTATGAAATTCATCAATTTTAGGGCTGCCAGTGAAGCCAGCTCAGTTCACGTCACCCAGTTAATGAATGTGTATGAAATTAAATCTTCCTAGAAAGCCCTAAAAAACTTGAGTAAATGCAGATACAGAGAAGTTTTAAAAAAAAAAAAAGCTGTTTATACAGATGCTAAAATAGCTTATGGTAAATTTAAAGAGAACCTTCTAGGCATAATTAACTGTAATGTTTGGTATCACTAAAATTCAAAAAACATAATAATATACTATCTTGACTGTTGGTGTTACTGAAATCTTCAATAAATATTTTTTTACCATATTCAATACGACCAATTAACTGAAGTTGCATGCGTAACAAGTACCTTTATCTGTAGAGACTATGGCATTTGAGGATTGGCTCTGACTGAAAGCCAAAAGAAAAAATTATGCATCATTTTATAAAATATACCTATAATCTAAGATAACAAAGAAAAAAATCAAGAACCAATGGCAATATCATCTACTAATACAATTCATCTACTATCATATTTAATCATTCCACTACTTTGTCTTAATCGGTCCAAGATAATTAGGGCAAAAAATTTATGGCTTGCTAAGTTTTTTTGTTTTTCTTTACTGAATTGTTGGTAGCTTATAGTGCTATTCCAACTAGGCACAGGCCATTAAAGGTGCTCACAAAGTTCAATCTAATTGGAATCTGGACCCTCTGAGAATGTCCAGTGAGTAACTCAATGGGTTGTGTCTATGGGCTAGTTCTCACATTGAACTCTTTGTTGGACTAGGACAGGGATGGCTGCTTGGAAAGCCTAAAAGCACCAAGAGCAGATCTGGGAGCTCCGAAGAGACGTGTTTTGGGCGGCTTTGTATTGCCCTGGACATGTAATGATCTTCTCTTCTTCACATCTACTAGAGGGTTCTGATAGACATACAGCATGGAATCTTCAATAACTCTAAAGAGCCGAATTTATTGAGAATGCAAAATATTAGTATAATAATAAAATTATCTATACATATAAATAAAATTGGAGTGTCTGTTTGTAATATTGAAATAACAGCTTTTTACTACATGCATATGAATGTATATAATTTTTTACATTTTTTGTCTGTCTGTCTGTTTATTCCGGCTAATCTCTGGAACGGCTGGACCGATTTTGACGAGACTTACACTGATAGATAGCAGATGATATAAGGAGTAACTTAGGCTACTTTTTTTTAACTAGCTTTGCCGCTGGACACCTCCCGCGGTACGACAATAGCCGCGGATAACATACCGGGACTCAGCTAGTATATTATATATTATTAAAATTGTGAGTCCGCACGGGAAGGTACCACTATCCTACCTATTTCTGCCGTGATGCAGTAATGCGTTTCAGTTTGAAGGGTGCGGCAGTCGTTGTAACTTACTTGAGACCTTAGAACTTATATCTCAAGGTGAGTGGCGCATTTACGTTGTGGATGTCTATGGGCTCCAGTAACCACTTAACACCAGGTGGGCTGTGAGCTCGTCCACCCATCTAAGAAATAAAATATATATATTTTTTTTTTTCGCTTCGAATATGGTTATTGCCTATCATTTATGTACAAAGCAGTTATTGTCGCTTATTCACGTTTGCCTTTCAAGCGTCTATATGTAATGTATTGTAGACAGGCTTGATTCAAATTTTCTTTTTAAATTAAATATAAGATAATATGCACGAATATGATGAGATTTTATTGATTTTGCATCCAATTGTAGCAGCATCTGGCAACTCTGGTCCATTTGTTGAAAAACATGCGCCTAACAAACTATGCCATAGTTAAAATGCAATTATATGTAATAAATTAAATCAGACAAATGAAATACAAAGATACATGTATGCATAGAACATAACAGGAAACACTTGTACCAATGATATATTATCATTGTTTACATTTTAAACTTATCTATTCTAGGCAAGTAGGAAGGAATATTAAGTTAAGTTAAAATATGAATATTGTTGTGAGTGCTTTTGAAGTCATCGTGTGGCCTAAAAGATAAGATGTTTGACATACTCAAGTATCAAGAAATGCGGTTTTCAAATATCACAAGCTGGTATTGTTATATATAATCTATATATTAATACGTGAAGCAAAAACTTTGTATCCCTTTTTACGAAAATTGCGCAGACGGAGGAGTATGAAATTTTCCACACTTATAGAAAATATAGAGAAGAAGTGCACAATGCTAATATTTTTTTTAAAATAATGCATAAATGTTACATGAAATCAATAAAGAAAACATTACACACACCACATACCATGTATTTGACGCACACACGCATGCATACTATTTATTGTCAAACTTTTGTTCTTGACGTCTGTGGTCAAATTGAGAATAGATTAAATATTGTTTGTCTTTATTAATATTTTTTATAGTGTAGTCTTGGCGAAATTTGTGATTATAGAAGTATAAAATACAATCATAATAGTGTACAAACTTACTATTCCAATTAATTATACTCCAATTTCGACTACTGCGGGACCTTTAGTAACATTAATGTACTCAAAAAATGTTGATGGATGATTTGATAAAGAAATAATTTTGTATTCGATACCAAATGATGGACAGGCATTTCCTCATGAATTGATGCTGCTGAATGCACCTGTTATCAGTGGAGATGAATCTTATAAGCACCATCCAACCACCTTATAACCACCATTACAAGTCTAGTCATTCAGGATAAGCAGATGCACAGTCTCATCTGCCTCCACACAGACCCTTAACAGAGGTATTTTTAATCCCTTTGTGAACTTCCCATAGTCATTAATTTCAACTATAATTCTTATGTTGATTATTATGAGAGTAACTGGTTGTTGATTATATTCCTAGTACGATCATAATCTGTTCGTTGAGGCTAACATATTTGGTTATATTTAAAAGGCAGATAATGAAGTCGTCGTGGCCTAAAGTATAAGACGTCCGGTGCATTCGTATGTAGCGATGCACCGGTGTTCGAATCCCGCAGGCGGATACCAGTTTTTCTAATAAAATACGTACTCAACAAATGATCACGATTGACTTGATAATTTGCGTAATTACTTGTGGTAGGACCTCTTATGAGTCCGCACGGGTAGGTACCACCACACCGCTTATTTCTGCCGTGAAGCAGTAATGCGTTTCGGCTTGAAGGGTGGGGCAGCCGCTGTTAACTATACTGAGACCTTAGAACTTATACTCCTCAAGGTGGGTGGCGCATTTCCGTTGTAGGTGTATATGGGCTCCAGTAACCACTTAACACCAGGTGGGCTGTGAGCTCGTCCCCCAATCTAAGCAATAAAAAAAAAGATAATCTCAGTAACGCTCTTATTAATTTGAAAGCAATCGATACAATTAGTAACTAGATAAATCGTTCTAGTCACTGAGCCCCTACGGTACAGAGCATAATTACCACTTGACCCAGTATGCCCCTTACCCTGCTGAAGGTAATGTATAAATTACATACCTTAATGACTTCACAAATTGATGTAGATCGCGTATAAGAAACATATCCGCTAAACAATATAGATTTGCCCTTGGGATAATTTATATGTGATAAGTACAGGCCCAATTAAGTATCAAATTCGTCGGTGACAGCGGTGGTAGCCGATTAACGCCAGGTGGGTTGTGAACTAGTCCGCCTAGATAATGATTCTTGAGCCCCACGAATTGTTCTTCAGATTAGAAGAGCTTACTCTAAAAGGTATGCGGCCATTCCCGATCCTGCGGACAGAATGGAAAGCAGTCGACGTCGCCCAAAACACGTCATTTCGGATCTTCCCGATCCACTAACGGTGCTTTTAGGTACCTCAAACACCGGTCATCGTCCTCGTCGAACCCGTCGCTTGCGACGAAGGGCTGCACAAGTAAATTAACCCACAAACACAGCCCACTGAGTTTCTCACCGGATCTTCTCAGTGGATCGCGTTTCCGATCCGGTGGTTCAGCGAAGCTCGGCTCTTGCTAGGGTTCGTGCTAGCAACGTCGTCAAGTTTGATCCCCGTGAGCTCGCCTACTAGTTAAGGTTATGCTGAAATAGCCTCAAGGCTCTCAACTTGGTAGGAAAAAAAAAAGAAAGGTATGCGGCTCCTGGAATTCTTCTTGTCTATGACCGACTGATCACTTACCGTCACTAGCACCGTATGCTAGTGTAACTTTGAAGGCTGTAGAATTATAATATTTACAACAAGATCTACAAGAGGTGGTAGGACCTCTTGTGAGTCCGCACGAGTAGGTACCACCACCCCGTCACGTTCTGCTGTGAAGTAGTAATGCGTTTCGGTTTGAAGGGTGGGGCAGCCGTTGTAAGATCTTACAACTTGTATCTCAAGGTGTGTGGCGGCATTTACGTTGTAGATGTCCATGGGCTCCAGTAACCACTTAACAACGGGTGGGCTGTGAGCTCGTCCACCCATCTAAGCAATAAAATAACAACGTAAATGCGCCCTTGAGATATCAGTTCTAAGATCTCAAGTATATTTACAACGGCTGCCCTGCCCTTCAAGCCGAAACGCATTACTGCTTCACGGGAGAAATAGGCGAGGCGGTGGTACCTACCAGTGCGGACTCACAAGAAGTCCTACCACCAGTAATCTTGCCTACCTACGGCAGCGATCTTGCCCCCGG